TTATTATTATTATTATTATTATTATTATTATTATTACGGTCGTCAGCAACATCGACATCTCACTCCCTCTTACGACATTCATTTTTTTCTTTTTGATACCGAAGGTAAAAGAGAAGTCCTGCTATCGCCTTCGAGTAATTTTGTTGAAAACTTCGTGTTGCTCGGAGATGAGGCTTTTTGGTTGACAGTCGAAAAGGTTCCTAGCAAGTGATTTTGGTAGGGGAAGATTTTAACTGCTCCTAATGATCAATAGAACGTTTGGTGATGGTCGTATGTTCCACCTAAGCAGGCCGAAACCGTTTAGAAGTTTAAAATAGAGGATTGTATCTATTGCTGCATTTATTAAAATGAGTGGCATATAATCAGGCATTTCTTAATTGAACAGTTTGCAAGTGCTAAAGGGTTTTATTCTGTTAAACGAACTAGAACTCAGTTCTTTAAGACCATATCTAACTGAGAACTTTTAGCTTGCAGATCCAGTTTTGAATTGAGTCAGTTTGCTCCAGGCAACTTTAATCAGAGCAACAGAGAAGGGCTGCCCGGTTTAGTGCTTTTACCGGGGTCTCCTTGTAATAATTATAAAGGTTTTTGCTTTCAGTTTTTTCCTTCAAACTTTTTTATCGTTATGAGGAATTCTATATTTAAAAAATATGGGGTTTCCGGAAGGTTCGTAATATATCACTTCTTTGTTTACTTTATTGGGTTTTAGTTGTTTACTGGATTTTTTTATTGTTTTATGATGGATTCTTATTTCCAGGCTATTGCGATATTTTTCGAAAGTGTCGCAGTGTTGATGCTGATGGACCTCTTGCCAGATTGAAAAATGTCATCTTCAACCCGCGAACAATAGCGGAAGTCAAGTCTTGGATACAAGTTAGTCTTCGCACTCTGGTGACTATCGGTATTTTCCGTTATACAACTCTTTATTTTCGTTTTTTTAGGTGAATTGGTGGATTGTGGTCCTTGCTGGACTTGGACTTATGCTGTTCATGGCTGCATTCATAAAGTGTTGCGCTGTCCATACTCCCAGCACCAATCCTAATAAGCCACCAGCATTAAGTATATATGAAACGCTGAGGCGTCCTAAGAACCTGATCTACTCTCAACGGCGTGGCCGTTCTGCTGCAGAAGCTCATGTATTTTGTTGTTTATTAGTGTCCTCTCACCTGAAGTAAAAAACATCATACCTTAAATCTCCAAAAATTTCTTTTTTTTGTAGAACTGGTGAGTTTTTTTCACAAAAAACATTTTCCTGAATTTGATTTTTCAGCGTGGCCAAAATCATGCTCCTGCTCGCAGGCACAGGCGCCACTCTAGAAACAAAACAGCAGAGCACTCATCTGCTCTGCGTAGTAGTTCTACAGCGGTTCCCACTGCTCCACCACAAATCCCAACGAATGTTGTGGTTGTTGAACCACCTCCTCCGTATTCAGCGTCTTCCGACCCAGGTACTTCTCTTGGAGGCCCGAAAAGAGGTCATCGAAAAAACATAAGGAAAGCAGAAGTAAGGGTTAAGAAACGTCGAAGTTAGGTATGATAATCTACCAATACAAATGTTGCTTTATGTAATTTCATTTAAACAGAAAGTCCTTATCCTGCACATTGTGCTCTGTTATTATTTTTCGCATCATTACTACCTCCTGGTTGATCAGGGTTGCAGAGTTACTTAGGATTTAAAAATTTGGTGTTAACGATACTTCCAGTCAAATTACAGAGCGTACTAACTATACAGGAGTGTTTATTAGTAGAGGGTGATGGGAACGGAAAACTGATTTAATGATTTGAATTTTCACTTCTGTTGAGGAAGCATGGTGATGACTTGCTTCCTCGAATTTCCATCACCTGAGGAATTGCAGCTCTCAGGTTGTTTAAGGTTTTTCGTGTTGTTCTTTCTATTTGTTTTCTTTTTATTTTTATTTTTTTTGTTTTTTTTTTCTTTTTTTTTTGTTTGCTCGGTTATTGCTGCTACTTGGGTGTTACTAGTGCGGGTATTTGTTTGAAACTGCAACATTTTTTATGTAAGCTTTAGCTTTGGATATTAATCTCGGCGGCTGCAACTTGAGTCGTTTTTCTTGTTACTATGAAAATAAGAATTTTCAGAGTTCAGCTCAAAGTTGAATTGTTGCAGGTGCCGTGCACTTTTGTTTGTAAATATGTGTTATGATAAATACTTCTAAAGTGCGCAAGGTTTTGCAACTGGTTTTTTTATAAATTATGAAAGGATTCTGGTCTTTGATTGAATATATTGCCTTACGAATGCACTTTGCTAGCCTTTGAACTATGCTGCATCTCTTTTGTCTTTTAGCTCGTTCGACTTTGCTTTCATTTCCAGTTTCACTCACTCTTCCAGTTCACTTTGCCAGTCGAGAACACAGTGTTCTTTTGTGCTATTCCTGATGTTGTGTATACGGAGGACAGGTGACTAGGTACAAATTTTGCCAGGTTTCTTTTGTTTCAACTGACGCCATCCGATGTTTTAGGAATTATTTCTTGACCATATTTGAAGCTTCTTTTAAATAAATATGTTACTGCTGATTTCTTGTTTGTCCTTCATTGAACTGTGTGAATGGCTACCGCGCGACAGTTTGTGGAGGTTCATTGAGTCTTGAGGTCAAAAACCACTGCCCCAGTCTTTCGCACTAGTCTAGGTGCCCGCGTGGCAGGTTAGGCGCGTTTGTATCAAAGTTATAACAGGCTATTTTCTGCTTATTTTTCTATGGTATTGTGTTCAGTAGCCGTTGAAGCTCTGTCCGTCCGTGTTTCTGCCCGAGAGCGAGATTGGTGTTGCGCCTTTTGCGGGCGAGGTAAACAAACACTCGTGACTTAAGCGACCTGAACAACCTAGTAAATCTATCTTGCAAGGTGGTCAGAACATGTGTCTGCAGAGGCGAAGAAACTACGGGGCCCCTGGAGAAGAATTGCGATTCACGGGGCTATCTAAAACGTCAGTAATATAGTTCCCGTGATGTAAAAAAGAACAGTAGAAGCGCTCCCATAAAGCCGCTCTCACAGCCCACGTTAAAAACAACAGAAGCGGAGGGGAGCACCAACAACATTAACCAATTCATCTCCCTAACCGATTTTGAGGAGTTTTGGAACGAGCAATAATTAAAATCTACCATTAGGATCAAAAGTGTGAACAATTTTGAACTTCTATTACAGCAAACTCTCGCCTACCTAAATCAAAGCTTCCGAACAAAAACTTTGAAAAGCCCTAAATTGTATCCAATGCCTTCAAAGGAAGAAAGCTCAGGTTTACATTATATATACCGTACATGCCGTAAAAATAAATATACCGTACAATCCAACGAAGTAAAGGAATCAGAAACAGTAAAGCAAAATGGGACAACAATTAAAAAGAAAATACTGGGTATTAAGTCGTTGATACAAGAATTCGAGAATTATACACGTGAACGGAGTCCGGCAATTGTTCCTTTCTATCCTTCAAAGTCGGAAGCAAGGCATCGAAAAAAACGTTGAGATAAAGGATATTTGAGAGGAGATCACCTCCAATTTAATTTAAACAAAGTAATAATCAAATATTATGTTTCGAAGAGCTTCCAGTTAGCATGTTCCATTCAACTGACTAATAACTGTTTAAATAAAGTATCTAATTGCTGACACAGCAAGCAGTCTTTCAACAAAAACGTCATCATCAATAACTGCGATGTGGGCTGAAAAATGATCAGGTACTTCAAACAACAAACGCTGAACTCAATAAATTACTCAGTTTAGCTATAAGAATCAAAAAATACAGCCCAAAAATATAAAACCAACCGGCCTTCCCAGTGACCTGATATGCACGGGTAACCGTGTTGGCGAAGGAGTGGTGCACTGTGTACTTTACCACTACAGTATGAACACTAGAGTCTTCCATGGATGTGCTCATATGGCTTACCATTTCATCATAAGCAGCACTTTGGATGCTTTTGTCTTTATTTGCTGCCTGAAAGAACTATTATTTCAATAAGACTTAGAAATTACAAAAACTGAAGCTTTTTCTCAGAGATCCTATTTATCATTATTCCTCTTCTGCAAGGTCGTGCATACGTAATAAGAAATACCTAACCTTGCAGTGGCTAATAATAGCTGAATGTAACGGCACGTAGAAATCTTGGCACGATCCGACAAGCAAGACATGTTTGAATTTGCCTAAGACGCCATTAGTGCTTAACTTATACAGAAAAGTATCTCGAAAGCTAACGGCATCACGCAGACAGAGCTGTTCTAAAGTTGCAGACTGCTTCCACCACCTCATTAAAGACACACCTAAAAAACTTGCTTCTTCTTCATAACTAATTTAGCTTAAGGCCAAAAGGGGGGAGAAAAGCAACTACCGATAAAGTAACGATTAATGTTTGAAACTGACAGTCTCTGCAAATAAATAAAAATATAAATAAATTTAAAACCAACAAGTACCCCATTTTGCGGCCCTCTGATTGTACAACAAACCACAGTGAGGGGCATTGAGAGTCAGTAAAGTGTTTAACAAGGGTAGAAGTGGATTGGCTTCTGGCATTCCAAGCATGGCGCGAATAATAAGTCCACCCATGGAATGAGCAATAAACCTTTAAAATTTTGGTTGGTTATATAAACGGCAGTTAATACTCGAAGGCGAAAAAGACATGATAAACTAACGATATTTTTTTTGGCCACAAAGAGAAACCCTTCAGCTCACTGAAAATTTCATGAAGCAAATTTGTAGCGAGCTCCTCTATACCAGACCAAGTTTTTGAGAGATTGATTCGCGATAATAAAAAATGAAGATTCGTTCTTGGCAGCAGCAAACGTAAAATATTGCGATAATGCACCAAATCCTCTACGCTTCCTACAAATAAAAAAATCGCATTAATTCTTTGAAAGAAAACTTCTGAGATAAAGCACTAATAAATTACCTTCTAGTCCATGAACAAGAATAATCAGATGTACATCGCAATAATCTGCTGAAACACTCCTCTCATTTTCCAAAAAATAGGGTCTCCGATAAGGAATGCGAGCCAAGTCGCTAAAAACTTTCACTGATAAAAACTGTAGCTGTAGAATTAGGAACTACATTTCAGAAAAAATAATTGGAAGTTTTAAAAAAAGCTGAGATATTCTTAACATTCAGTATAAAATATGCAACTAAAAAGAGACGACCTGTAAAAGTATCCTTGAAAATTTAGGGAGTGCAACTTTTCTTTCAGCTGTTCTTTAAGGTGAACGAATAATACGATAGACTGATCAAAATTAGCCAAAAAATCATTTTTCCGAGAGGTATGTCTCTTTGCATGAGTAACTTTAGAAAATGCCGACTCCGAGCCAGACTGTCCTACTACGATAGTAAATAATTTAGTTAACAATATTCATCATGTAACGACGCTTTATAACAGTAAAAGGAATTATTGAAATAATTATAAGGCTTGCGCCAAAACTAACTTTGTGATAAAGATGAGGATGAACTACTGTTATCCATAGAAAAAAAATTCTTCTCGACTATCCTATCCTGAAAGAAAACATTACTCATTTCCTCTTCTAAAGTAACTTGAATCTATTACAGCTTCAAAAAATTAAAGACACCACAAATTCATGCTGCAGATTTAGAAATCTACACAATGAGTTAAAAATTAATTCCACCACGGCGACGTAAGTGAAGAACTACACAACTGACGTCCAACTTTTCCAGCATTGTTGGTAGTGCTATTGTTGACTGTGCCTTCCTGTGCCTAAGCGAATGACGGAGTGTCGAACTACTTCCAGCATCCTGATACAAGCGCCTCTTTATGCCAGGATCGCTAACGCGGCGACAAATCTGTAAAAAAAGGCGACAAT